CATTTTTTAAATTTTTTAAAAATTTTCAGACAGGATCACAATAAATTGCCTCAAATTTACAGTCCTTCTGCTTCAGCCTCCTGAGTCACTGGGATTACCAGGCGCCACTATGCTCAGCAGCATACAATTTCTTTCTCCTGGTAAATCAAGAGTTTTCACGTTTTACCTAAAGGCATATCCAAATTGCAAGTATAACAAGGAGCAGGACAACAGGAGATTTCAAAACACTACTCAGAAAGGAAAATATTTTAGAACTTGTGAATTATTTCTATATTTTCCATTTAATTATTTTCAGACCGAGACTGAGAGCAGGTAACTGAAACCTTGAAAGTAAAACCACAGATAAGGGAGCCTCTTAAAATGAGTGGATTCACTTCCAGGTCCATCATTTTGAAACCTTACCATTAAGAAAATTAATTAACCTTTCAAAATATCCAGTTTGGGATTTCTCATAAATATTTTTTAAAAATAAGGAAAATAATTCTTATTCCATTGGATATTTCAACAGCTGAAAAAGAGAGAAATTATAAAAGCACCTAGTCTGAGGTCTGGCACATTATAAAACTTGTGTTCCTTTATATCAACGGAAGTGATATTACAAATGATGAGTTAGAAGCTTCAATAAGAAATATCAGAATTCCCATATTTTAATACTAAAATTATAATTCCATTCCACCACTTCAAAGATGAAAACTCTCTTCCTCTTATTGCTTGGCCCACTATATTTCTGATGTATAAATTGCCATTTAAGAATGTTTTCAGTGTATGAAGAGTTTATCTGTTATAAAAGTGGAACGTAAACTGGCAAATCAGCCAGGATTGGCACCAGTTTAACCGCAAAATATAATCACAATATAGATTGTGACATTCTACCCAATGTCTTTCACCCAGTAAAAACCTACACTCGAATCCATCTTTTTAAGAAATTTTTATTCCTAAGTTATTGAACAAATATATCTGAAATAGAATCTACAAATGAAAAACCTCCAGTATGATATAAAATAGACACTGATAAAGGATAAAAATCAATATAAAGGCTGGGGTCGTGGCTCAGTGGTAGAGTGTTTGCATAGCATGTGTGAGGGACTGGGTTCAATTCTCAGCAATACATACAAATAAATAAAGGTCCACTGACAACTAAAAAAAATTTTTGGAAAAGTCAATATAGTAGACAGATATTACATAGTTGAAAGCTTACTAAGGCCAACATTTTTATATTTGAACATTGATCAACACAAAAATTTTTCATGATTCAGAAAATTTTAATTCAACCTTTTATTTAAAACAAAATATTCATTTCCTGAGTAAGCTAGAATATGTTTAAATAAAGGAAAGAAACTTTATTGCAAGTTTATGAATTTTTAAATAACTACATACAATTTGGCACCCAAATTCAAACTTTAAACGTTGAATGTTTTGGTCAAATGTAAAATTTCCACTTAAAAAACAGTACACTTAGACACATTTACATTCTTGTAGATTTTTAAATGAACAAGATTCTGACCTTTAAGCTAATATTAGACTGATGTTTTAAAAACTAAAAAGGAATCCAAAATTATACAATGAAATAGGCCCTCAAATCTAAAAACAAAAAAACTAAAACTCCTTCATTGGAATGTACAAGTAACCACTGGGTTTATTTAAATTACTAAAGACAATGTTGCAACCACAATAACCTTCTCTCCCTATTTCAACCAGTCCCCCTCCTATGTTCTCATCCATTTAACAAGAAAATTAATGTTTTAAAACTTGAACAGTGGTAAAAATATTTCTTCAGCAAAATTTGCCTTTTGCATTCATCCTGCAGCACTCAAGGCAGTTATGTGCACACACCAGATTTAAATGCTGTATGATTCATTTGTGAAAGAAAATAAAATTAAGAATTAGTGTAAAGATGGTTGGGTATGGTGGCGCACACCTGTGATCCCAGTAACTTTGGAGGCTGCGGCAGGAGGATCACAAGTTTGAGTTCAGCCTCAGCAATTTAGCAAGACTCTAAAAAAATTAGTGAGACCCTGTCTAAAGATAAAAAATAAAAAAGCACTGGGGATTTTGTTCAGTGGTGAAGCATCCCTGGGTTCAATCTCCAGTACAAAAAAAAATTAATGTAAAAATGACACAATAGATCAGGACACTACAAGTGCAGCTGCCTTGCTATCAATAAAACAAAGCCAGCTGGGAGTGATGGCACACCCTATAAACCCAGCTACTGAGAGGCTGAGGCAAGAGGACTGCAAGTTTGAAGCCCCCTGGGCAACTTGGTGAGAACCTATCTCAAAATAAATTTTAAAAAGCAAGGCAGGGATGAGGGGCGCATACAGGGAGGTAGGTAAGGGGTAGAATACTCCTGGGTTCAATCCCCAGTGCCACAAAAAAGTTTTTTAATTTTTTTTAAATTTTTTATTTGTTTTAATTAGTTATACATGACAGTAGAATGCACTTATATACTTTGATATATCATACATAGATGGGATATAATTTCTCATTTTTCTGATTATACATATTGTAGAATCACATTGGTCATACAGTCACATATATACATAAAGTAATAATGTCTGTTTCATTCTACTATCTTTCTTATCCCCACATCCCCTGCCTTCCCCTCCTTTCACTTCCCTCTACCTAATCTAAGGTAACCCTATTCTTTTTTTTTTTTTTGTATTACAATTCTTTAATACACATATATACCACAATTTTGTATCTCTGTTTGTATATAAAGTATGTTGACACCCAATTCAAGTCTTCATACATGTACTTTGTATAATGATGTCCATCACATTCCACCATCCTTGCTAATCGTTTTTTTAATTTTAAATTAAAAAAAAAGCCCAGCCCTCACAAATTTTCTATTTTGATATGATTTCCAATACTCATAAAAATGAGTACTATTCCTACACATATAAATAGACTTATGAAACATATTATTCAACTACTACACAAATCTACATAGTAACAGATAATAGAAAAACTACAAATTTTAGGAATGTGAATAATGAGACTATTTCTTGGCATTCTTCCTGCTACTACAAATCTAATCTAGCCTCAACAAAGTATACAAAATGCTTGAGTTCTTGGAATATTGATATTTTTTCCCTATTTGCAGCTGACAAATAACTAGAATACCAGAAAAAAAAACTTCTGAAAATCTTTAACTCTATTAAAATATATACTACATCCAAGTTTAGCAAAAGTTCTGCACCACAAAACTTAATGTTTCCCTTATATTGTATTCAATGATTCTTTTATTTTAAAAACAAAGGAATTACAAGGTTTGTGATCAACGCCAAATGGCTAGAAGTGTCTCCAAATCACTTCTCAAATTGTTTATTTAAAAATATCAAATTTTAAATGTGAAATAAAGGCAGCACAAAGCTGCATTCTCTAAACAGAAAAATGCTGTGATTAGTTCACTTAAAAATAAACAGCTGAGTCATATTAATAGAAATGTCACAAAAAGCAGAACTTTCTAAGGTACTCTTTAAAAATTAATGCATTTGTAGCCCATCCCTGGAAATTAACCTGCAAGGCTGTTCTAGACAATCCATTTGTGGATGAGTCCTTCAATTCACCCATAACATAAAAGTTTCAATATCTAATAGCAACAATAGTAATCAAACCAAGTTTCTTTTGCAAGCTATAGCCTTAAGCTCCAAATAAAATTAAAAACCAGAAAAGATCAAAAGTCAAAGTGTTCTAAAATTTTCTCTAAGAAGTAGGTGTTCCTTCATTTTAGATGTCGTTTTTCCTTGCTTTTCACTGAAAGGAGAATGGGAAATCAAATTAACAGTGATAAGGATGAGAACAGTTAGTTCTCAGGCAGAGGATGCAAGAATTTACCCTCAAGGATTGGCAGGGAGATCGGCAGGCACATACACACAGACATTCAGAGGAAGCTTTCAAAAAATGTCACTATCTAAAGGAAGTTTTAAGGCCTTATTTTGTTGAAGTAGAAGGCCAGCCCTGCAAATGCACTGTAAAATAGAACTACAAAAATTTCCAATCTCCAGAACAATTCAAGAGTTCCCTAGGAATGAGCATATATTCTGGTCTTACTCAGAACTACTGCCTCTCACACAGAAGGAAGGGTAATCCATAGTGAATAGGAATGCCACCAGGTCGATTTATGTGACACATCCACTGGGAGCATCCGACTGGGATCCAGGGCCCTTTAGGGCCGAGGCGGCTAGAAGAGTAACATAAATGCAATCTTCAGGGCCCTCCTACTTCCGTTCTCAAAACAGAAATGCACTGCTTCTCCTAGTCCTCGCCCTTCAGCCCTGTACCTCCCCACAGCGTAGCCCCCTTCAAAGAGCTTATGTGGAAAGAAAAGCAAAGACAGTCACGAACTAGGGTCGATGGAATGCGGTTGGTCAAAGCACCCCCAGCCCCGACTCCCGATCAAATCAACTGCCAGCGCCTCCCTGAGCGCTCCTCTGGCAGGAGACCACAAGCAGCAGCAGACGCAGACGTCCCAGCTCGCCCCCTACTCCTTCCTCCCCCGGCTAAGGGGAGCGGAAAAGCGCAAAGAGGAACTAAGTGAACTGCAAGAGGATGCCCTGAAAGCTCACTCAAAGAGGGGGTGGGGAGGGGGTGGAAACCAAGAAGGAGCGGAAGGAAAGGGAAAGGAAGAGCAGCAAGAAGAGGAAGGGGGCGAGAGCGCGCGCCCGCAAAAGGGACGAGATTTCGGGAACGCGGCTGCACCCCGTTTCCTCTAGGCGGGAGAGGGTACACCGAGTCTCCGGGGCGCTCCGCCCCAGGCAGAGGGCAAGGAAAAGACGGTGAGGAGGCTCCGGCCCCTTCTAGGCACGCCTCGACCCTCGGGAAAGGCCGGTGGAAAGCGACAGTGCCCTCGCCGGGTGGGAAGCGAGGCAAGCGCCGCTCGCCCCGTCGGAAGGCAGGGACTGCGGGGCCTCCTCCCGTTCCGCGGGGCCAGCTTTCACGCCCCCACCGCCGGGGGAGGCGGCTCTGGGGGGACGCCGGCCAGGCGCCGTGCCGGTTACCTGAAGCGGGGCGAGTCCTTCAGACACTCCTCGAAATCCACCGTCATCTTCATCCTACCTCCGCCTCGCCTTGCGGGCAGCGCTAGGAGAGCCGAGGGGCCCGCGGGAGCGGCCGCACTGGAGACCCAGACGGCTTCAGTGGACTCACGGCCGCGACTAACACTGCGCGGAGCTGCGGAGGGCGCCTCGCCCGCTGGTCATAGCATCCGTGAAGACAGCGACCGCTCGTCAGGCCCCAGTCCGGCCCCTCTTCCTCCCGCCCCCAGCAGAGCGCTGGCCTCGGGGAAATGGCCCAGGAGTGACAGCCACGGCCAGCCAGCCACGAACCCGGCGGCTAATGGGCGGGGCTTCCGGCAGCACCGCCTGCGGGCGCTCGGGCAACGTGCCTGAGCGACAACAGCTCCAACCAATAATCAGCTTGACCGTGGGCACCTCCTTGCCACAACCGCCCCCGACGGCCAACCGGGATGCGCGGGCGTCGTTAGGCGGGACGCACCGTTGCTGGGAGGCTGGCCGCTGAGGCTCCTTGGGAAGGAAGTCACGTGACATCGCTCCGCGCTTCCCTCCTAGCCCCCGCCTCTCCTCTTGCTTCCCCAGCCCCGCCCTACTGAACTGCCAGCGCCAAGGATCCGCCTCCTGCAGCTCTGAGAAGATTTGCTCTTTAAAGCAGCTTTAGCAGAAATCTAAAGAGGGCAGGGGCAGAAATTATAAAAGGAAGGGATAGGCTAAGCCACTGCTTCTTTTCAGGTTAGACAAACTGAGGCCAGGAGAAGAGCGAAGACAGCTTTAATGTTAACATCCATCTTTCACTTATTGGTTCCATCGCTTAATGATTTGGAAATTGTTCCCATATACATCTTTTCATATAACCAGAAACCACTTCCTGAAGGAACTGTCATTTGGGATGGGCGTCGAAAGATAGAAGGATTTAGACAAGTTTGAGAGGGCATTTCGTGTGAAGGAATGCTGTCAAAACAGAAGACACCCCTCCTTACACTTTTCTCCCAGTAGTTTTCTCATGTTTTACGATGATAGGGTTCTGAAGATCAAACTTACTGTACTCCACTTTGCAACACCTGCCCCTCTGATCCGCTTTTTCTAGAAGCCTTTTAAGATACTGATCACCTGTTCCTACAAGACAGGTATTTACCATATTCCTTGATTTTAAGATGCTGTTTAACCTAGGTCAGTGGTGCAACTTGTAATCCCAGTGATTGGGGAGGCTGAGACTGGAGGATTGCAACTTTGAGGCCAGCCTTAGCAATTTAGCAAGACGGTTAGCAACTTAGTGAGACTCTGTCTTAAAATAAAAAGTACTGGGAATATTGCTGAGTAGTAAAGAGTCCCTGGTTTCAATCCCCAATTCAAAAAAAAAAAAAAGAGGGGATGTATTCATAATTATGCATAGGTAGGGTGTTCTAACAGCATAGTGGTACCAAGTAAGAATCTGGAAGCAAAGTTCTTGGATTTACCTCCTAGCTTTCTCTCTTTAAAATGAAGATAACACCACTGATCTGATAAAGTTGTCTACTTAACAGTGCCACTTAGTAATCACTCAGTAATGTTGGTTACTTTAATTGCACCACTTTCTTCTCTGGTGCCATAATCAAAGGTTCAGTCTAAGATATTTTGCTTTCACAGTCTAAAATCTTAATATAACCGTTAACCATGTACCTAAGTATAACATTACAGCACACTGTTTTTCAGAACCCGTGTTTATATTTTGATCTCTTTAGCATCTTTAGAAAGTAGCAGTATAATGTTAAGACATTTCAAAGAATATGCAAGCATTTTGTATGTTTGCTCTTTGGTTATAAACTTGATTTTTATTTTTTTTAATTGAATTGCATACCTCTGGAATCAATACAGCTTCTCATGGATAGCTATAAACTATTGATTGTTAAATGTTCAGTATTAGTTACATAGCTGGCCAGGCCAACCTTTTCTAGTATTGTAACTTCTGGTCAAATTTACCAAAAGAGTTGGCAATTTCTACTACTGTTCAGCTGCGTGTCTAATTTATGACAACTATCTGCATACACAATAATTTACTATTTTAATGCTTCATCACAATATTGTCTTTTAGAGGTTACCTAAGGTGACACTTTGAGGGACCAAATTAAAACTCAACTGCATATGCAAACAACTAAGCTAATTATCAAATGAACAAATTTTTCTGTGGTTGCATAAATTTGTATATGTCCAGCTAGTGATAATACATTTTTTCTTCTCTGCCCTGTGATAAAGCTAGTATTGGGGAGTTTCAACTTTAAGATAGGTCCTAAATTAAGAAACATTAACGGGGCTAGGGATGTGGCTCAAGCGGTAGCGCGCTCGCCTGGCATGCGTGTGACCCGGGTTCGATCCTCAGCACCACATACAAACAAAGATGTTGTGTACACCAAAAACTGAAAAATAAATATTGAAATTCTCTCTCTCTCTCTCTCTCTCTCTCTCTCTCTCTCTAAAAAATAAAAATAAAAAAGTTTAAAAAAAAAAAGAAACATTAACTGCCGCTTGGGCATATTGGTGTAAGGGGAAGTTGGGAATGGGCAGGTGACAATGGGAAAGATGGCGTATCAGAGCCTCTAGCTGGAATACCTGCAAATCCCACCTGTTAGCCGCACCTAGGTCACGTCCTACGTTCTCACCACGGCCACTGTGCAATTGGAATTGATCACACCTTTTCAGCTGTACTTCAATCTGAATTAATTTTTAAATACTTTCAAGTATTGCAGTTGGACACGTATATTTTTCTTGGAAGATGTATTTCCCAATCAGCCCAGAAGGACAAGAATTCTGAAAACACCATCTATTTTGAGGACTATTGTTGATACACCAGATGAGGATCCAAAGTACAAAACACTACCTGAAGAAGGGCTGGGAGGCTTTTCCTGGGTGAGGGCCAGCTTCTTGGAGGTTAAAACAGCCATGCCAATAACAAAATCCAGCTGGAAAAGAGTTGGTGAAATACCAATTGGGATTCTTTTATCCTTTGTTGCAAAAGTGTGGACACTTTTGACAGCTTGACAGATTTTAACTCCAGAAACACTTTATGAAATGGTACACTGACTAATCCAGAAGACATTTCCAGCAGTTTGCCAGTGGTTCCTCACTACACTGGTACTGAAAGTGTAATCTGTTAGAGCCAAAAAACTGGAGAAACAGATATCCTGCATCCTCTAACAAGTGCATAAGTACTTAAATTCTATGCAATAAGGCAGGGCTTTTTCTTCCTCTTCTTTGATAGACAAGGCCATGATGCAAAAGAAAAGTTTCAGAGAGGACAGAATAAAACTGAGTTCCATCTCTCTTTAGCTGTTAAAAAAAAAAAGAAAAAGAAAGAAAGAAAAAAGAAACATTTAAAGTGGAGTGTGTAGAAGCAGTGGATCTTAGAATAGAAGAAATACAATATTATCATCCTTATCCTATAATAATGGAAACTGAGGCCCCAAGATATAAAAATAACTTGTCAGATGACTTAGGCCAAATACAGACTCCCTGATGCCAGACCCTAACTACTAACTGCCCTCCCTCCCCTTGAGAATTCTGCCTTTGTATTTGTGGCTCTGTGTGCCTAAGCAGCATCTCCCTTTCATCTCCTCTCTAAAATATGGCTCAGGGCTGGGGTACAGCTCAGTGGTAGAGCACTCACCTAGTATATGCAAGGCCTGGGTTTGATCCCAGCACTGCAAACAAACAAACTTGCAGTCCAAGTGCCACCTCCTTCTGGAAGCCTTCTCCTTTTGCTGAAATGCAAACCTCTCCTTTCAACATACAGTGAACCTTAGTCACAGGCCTATAAAAGACACAAATTATCAAACCTTATATCTCAACCAAATTTATTTTTTCTAGCCTTCTTAGTCCCTTCCTTCAAACCCTCTGGACCCCAGACACCCATATCCTTTCCCAGTATTTGTCTGACTTCCCCTATGGATACTTTAAAAAGAAAGTACTGGAGATTAAACCCAGGGTCTAGTAATTATTCCATCACTCAGCTACAGCCCCAGCCCTTTTTAAAAAATTTTTGAGACAGGGTCTTGCTAATTGCCCAAGCTGGTCTCAAGCTTGTGACCCTCTTGCCTCAGCCTCCCAAGTAGCTGGGATTACAGGTGTGCACCACTGCATGCAGCTACCGAAAATACTTTCGACCATATATCCTCTTGAACAGAGACTGTGCAATCTTCCCTGCCTGATGTTTCTGAGTCACTATATATGGTCAGCAAGAGTCTAATTCTTGACACCTTACAATTTATGTTCCATCTTCGTGGAAGAATTACTCCTTGTTTGAGACTGATACAATCTAGACATAACCATTGTCTTGCCTTTCTTGTTGCTTTCACCAAGTTCTAGTAATCCCCTGATTTTAGCCTAGCTAATTGCATTGGAAATTCTCTCAAAAAGAGGGAGTTAGGATGAGGGCCATCATGGACAGGTACTGGAACAGGAAAGTGCAGGAACCCAAATGCCTCTGGAAATTGGTTTTCCTTTTCTGGAGTCTGTATCCTTTTTCTCCACACTCTGAGGCCTCCATCAAGTTCCCTCTATTCTCTGTAATGGGCTGTTCCCCTGTTCACCTGGCTTGCATATAATTAATCATTGCTAATGGTTCCTTCTACACATTGGTCATGAGACAGGTACAAGGACCCAGAAGGTAGTGTGAATGAAGGTGGCCAAGGGTAGATAATATGGAGTGGTAGATACTGTGATGAACAGAAAGCATGTAGCCTGTGTGCTCATCAGTTTTTTTACACACCAGACCTTCAGGTTTTATAAGAGAAGCCAAGTAGACAGTTTTTAATGTAGAATCTCCCTATTTTCATATAATGGAAATCTTTTCAAAATATTAAGAAACATTGCACAGGTCATAAAAATAAATGTAAGGGCCACTTTGCAACTTGTCCTATTTATTTCTTGACAATTCTTCATATAGTCCTTCAACCTATGTTCCTAGTGTTGTTAACCACTTCAATGTGTTTCCAAATTCCCAAATCTCGGGAGAAAAATCACATTAGCCCCGCTCACAGTTTCATCTTTTCAGGCCAAACAGGTTGTGGGTCCCTGGCAAGCCAACAGAGGAAATGGAATCACTTAAATTTGTCTTTTGTATACAGCTGAGAATAGGAACGGTAGCTACAGGACAGTTGAGTAATAGACAAGGCAGTTTCCCTAAACTAGAATGTTGATGGCTGGGACCCATAAAACATCTAATGAACTCTCATGTTCTTGCAGGACTTTAGCTCCTGACTCATATAGTCCTCCACCCCACCTCCTGCCATCAACTAAGATGACTTTG